CCTTAGTCTAGTTGGCTAGCTAGTAATAGAATATGAAAAACATTCAATGTAAATGTTACACTGATTTAAGGAAATAAAGTTCAGAGTCTTTGCATGGTTTGAAAATCATGGGAGCTCCTGGTCCTTGCAAATTTAATTTTCCCTTCTTTTCTTTACACTGATTTCTTTTCTAGGCCCAAGTAACAATATGTGAACGTTTTTTTTTTTTTTTTCCCCTAATTGCAAACAAAACAAAATGTAAAGATTATTCACTTTTATAAAAATAAAATAAAAATAAAAATAAAAATAAAGATCATAAGAAAATAAAAATAAGAAGTAACAACGTTGGGCATGAGCCAACCCCTATGCAATTAGGAACATGGATGTTTATAGCTCCAGGTCCGGTCCAGCTAAATCGTCGAATCATGGGCTGGGTTGTAGGCATAGCACCTCCTTCTCTTCTCGGCCAACCCACCGGACCCAGTTCCCAGGTCCTCGCATCGCATCCCCTGTGGAATGCATCGGAATGTCACATTTTCCCGGCTTTCTTTTCCTCTTTGAAATCCCACGCCACCAAAATCTCTCTACCGGAATCACACTCAAATCTCGGAATCTCAGTTTCCATTTCCCTCACAATTCTTGTTAGTTTAGGCTTTCTTTTTGTTGTTTTGATTTCTTGAATTTGCATTTAGGGGTAGTTTAATTTCTCGTAGCAGGTTTTGACTTTTGAGTTAGAGCAAATCTGTCACCGAGATTTGATGGCACCTTATGAAAGACCCATTTGGATACATTTCCTCTCAACAATTGATTATTTGAGAGTGATTTTTGATCATTCCTCTTGTTTTCCTGTTATTGTAAATGTTATATCTTTTGGGTTGAATGTAAATTTTACTCTTAATTTTAAAGTTTTAAATAATTTTTGTTTTTCAACTTTTTTTATATATTTTTTTATCCCTAAGAGATGAAAAATGATTTTTTTAGTTTCTTTCGTCAGTTAGTGCATTAAATTTATCTAAATATATACATTTTTAATTTTTTAACTTATAATATATATACATTTTTCATATCTTAATTTTAAGTTAAGAGATTAAAAATATACATATTTAGACAGATTTAATGGATTAATTGACAGAATGACAAAAAATATATTTTTCATAGTTTAGGAACTAACAAAATATATAAAAAAGTTGAAGAATGAAAACTATGTAAAATTTTAAAATTGAGGAATCAAAATTGAATTTAACTATTTCTTTTTAGGTAACATCCTGGAAATGTTTGCCGTAACATTCTAGGTGGGGATTTTCGAAATTCAAATTTCTAACCTCGAAGTTGTCAGTTCGTAGATTATTATGAGCACACTACCAAACAAGTGAAAGGAGACCCTTGCATGTTCCTGTCTAGTGTACATGCAGGGCAAACAGCCAATCAAATTAGCTACATATTACAAGGGAAACTCCAAATTAGCCTTTGGAGTGGTTCTCAAAAAATCTCTTTCCCAGCTTGTGACCTTGGATTAATCTGTTAATCCAGATTAATCAGTTTAAATCCCCAACCCCAATTTTATCATTGCATGCAAGTAGCATTCTCTTATATAATTTATATTTTTCTTTTTAATTCCAAACAGATTAGTGCGAGAATCTTTTCATCAATCATAGAGCTAAATGGTATCCTGTTGCAGTACCATCAAATCTTCACGTGGAGTATGACAGCTTGTGACCATCCTCAGCTGGAGAAAGCCAAAACAAGGTAAGAAATGGAGGACATACTTCATGCTGTTGAGAGACAAACTTCATGCCGATGGGAAGGACAACATCCACTGCAGAAACAAGACGACAAACTTTTGTAGGTACATACTATGCTCTGCAACTCTCTATATAAATGTTGATGTTTCCTTCTGAATTATGCAAATTAATAATTTCCTTTGTCTTTGGCCAAGAAAATCCAATTTTATTACCTAGAAAGAACTTTCTACAATTCTGACCCTCAAAACTCCAAATTTCCTCTTCTTAAAGGAGGCTATTGATTCGGTTCGGAAAAAAAAAAAGAAAAAAAAAAAGGAGGCTATTGATTGTTTCCTAAATTCTAATAGCCCTGAAAATTGAGGAATAGCAACATATCATTTCCTTTGCAATATCTGTTTCAACTCCGTGTAACCTCTCATGAAGTTGGGAAGAATCCACTTAATGATTAAGAATCTTGGGTATTGTAACTTGTAAATAAATAGGAGCTAATCTTTTTAAAGAATTTTTTCACGAAACTCATAATTTAAAATAGATAATATTTCATAATAGATAATGTCTTATGAGATGTTAAAAAATTAATAGGATAATAAATAAAAACTTGATCATGAAAATAATGGGTCAAGACGTCAAAGTAGGACATTTATAGCTATGCCTAGGGGCGTTGATTTAATCATCCACCTTTCTCTTGTTCTACTTTTACTATTTATCATTGTTTGTTTTTATTCACATTATTATGAAAAGATACCCACAAATCAACTAGTTTTTTTTATAATAAAGTAGTCATATGTTATTATCTCCCTACCTAACGTGGGAGCGATGAAAAGGTGTTGAATTTGTTGTTATGCAAATTATGCTGTTCCTGATGGGCAATAGTGTTGTGTTCAAAGTGACCAAAGGCCCTTCGTAAGCTTGTTTGTTAGTCCTTCGTGTAAAGAGTATAGAAAGGGACTAAAGGAGATAATTTATGAGCAAAAAAACAAGATTTACGAAGCTGCATCGAACCTGCTATGCTCAAACTTATATGTGAGTGAGACCACATACCCCTACATCTC